GCAGCCATATCACCCTGCAGCCTATGACTGGTTGCCCACTGAAGCTAAGCAGGGCTTAGCCTGGTCAGTACCTGGATGGGAGACCTCCTGGGAAAACTAGGTTGCTGCTGGAAGAGGTGTTAGTGAGGCCAGCAGGGGGTGCTCACCCTGTGGACTGTGTGGGTCCTAATGCCCTAGTATAGCGATGGGGACATATATACTGTCAAAAAGCACCGTCCTTCGGATGAGACATTAAACTGAGGTCCTGACTCTCTGTGGTCGTTAAAAATCCCAGGATGTCTTTCGAAAAGAGTAGAGGTGTGACCTCAGTATCCTGGCCAAATTTTGAAATTGAACTGGCTTCAGATTCTAAATATCCAGTGGAGATTGCTTAACAAAGCTCAGCTTTATCACTGACAGCTGCTCTTGTAACTTCTGAACCTGTTTTTTTAACAGTTGCAACTCAGACTCTTCCTGAGTTTCAGCCCTTTTCTTAACCTGTTAGTCTCTAGACTCCACTCTCAATGATGCAACCGGGTTTTTCCCAGAATCTTCTCCCAATCGGAATCTTAACTCCTGTATTTCCTTGTGTAGCTGTTTACCACAGAAGAGTTCATTTTGTTATTAGGTTTCAGATTTATGGGCTTTACTGAGGTTTTGATCTTAAGATGGGCAGCTTCATTTTCCTCTGCTTCCTTAATCTCTCTCAGTAATGCTAAGAAATTTGGAGGGTTTTCTTTCCCTTAGTCTCAACTGCAGTAGCATAAGATCCGCTTCAACAGCTCCTCTGACCAGTTGTTCAATCCTCACGCGGTCCATTAACTGTGGTGCCAATCCTCCACTTTAGTTAAGGGTTTTTCTATTCGCCTCAGAAAATCAGACAGAGACTCTCCTGGTGGCTGACGAAGAAGACGGAAAGCAAAGTAGAGATCCTCTCCAGATTCATATGTTCCAAAAATATTCTCCAAAGCATCCAGATATTGCGAAGCACTAGCAGCAGGACTTGAAAATCTGACAGCCTTGACAATGTCCAACGCTGGGCCTTTTAAACACTCCATTATTATTATTTTTTTTTCCTTTTCAGAACATTTGCACTCTGCAGTCATCAACCTGGCTTGTTCCATCCAGTTTTCCAAACTTTCCTCTCCTGGTGATGTGGGGACAGTACCCGAAAAGGTACGTAAACGGCAATAAGCACTAGCATCAGTAGATTGTTTAGAAGTTTTCTCTAGTAGTTCAGCCACGGCACAGATGATAGATTCAGGAGAGCCAGCACTTGAGCTAGGTTGAGTGAATAGGGCTTGCAAGTCAGACATCGACTTTCCCTCCTCACTTACGAACTTGGACAATTTCTGGGAAAAGTCTGAAACAGGCACATCTGCTGAAGCCACTACTACCTTCCAAGTTTCCTCTCCTTGAGCTGGCAGTAATTCTGGGGGAATACGAGTAGGGTCAATGACTTCTTTGCATTCACAGAGGACCAAGCTAGTGTCAGGAGTTTGTCCTAATCTTGAATCTCTCACACAAACCCTACCAAACGCGTTTACAGTCTGCGCTGTCTCTTCTATAAATGCCACATCAGTCTTAGCTGGCACTCCTACTAACAGTATGCCATGATTCTCCTCAATGTCCACTTCTTTACAGCATTTAGACAATTCGGCAATCAGAACTGGATCCTGTCCAAAAGCCATGCTTGTAGTTCAGGTAAGTGATTGTTAGTTCACTTGAATAATCTTAATAATTATTTAAACTCTTGTTGTCTAGGGTCAGCTGATCACAAGAAGGAAGTGATCCCGGACGAGCCCCCATAAATGTGTAGCCCCCCCTTACCCTTTCCACTAATGGACGGAGCACCCAGTTTCTAATGATATGTCTCCCGACATAACTAACTTACTTCCTTTCCCACTGACCATTGTACTTAAATGAAATGTTAAGTGGTGGTCTTTCTGAACAATTGGTAATGTAAATCACTAAGGGCAAGTTCTTAACAATTCACAAATAATTTATTAAAAAAATGAAATCAAAGAAAGAAAATAATATAAATCTAGAGTAAATGGATTAAATTAAATACAACAACGTGTGTTGTTTATTTTCTTTCACATTAAATTTAGGATCTGAGAAGATCTAAAGGTGATTTTAATACCTGATGCTCAAATAACAATAGGTACTCAACTAATAGCTAATACTACATTTGTATAAGTAAGAAACAGTAATTCACTTCCCTTGTGAAATATGGCACTAAACAGCAGTCAGAATGCAAATACTCAATATAAATCAAATGAAACAAGCTAAATAGCAACGGTGTAATGTGGGCCCACACACACTCTCAGTTTCAATAATTCCTATACGTTGAAGGCCTGCATCGTCGCTTGAGAACGGTGTGGCCGTTAAACCCAACAAATGGCCTCTTCGCTCCGAAGAGCTAAATAAACAAACAAGAGTGCCTGTGTCCGCTTGTGTCAACACACGTGCTGTCCAACAAACTTGTTAGAAACTCCGTATTCGTCTGATATTTCACCCGCGGTCCGCTGGATGACGAGAAATCCCGCAGTGCCAGAGGAATTCTAAACCGCGTGGGGATTTAGAACGCTATCTGGTTCCTCCATTCTGTATACTTATTCCTCGAAATGATTAAGAAACTCTGGTCCATCATCACATCAAAGTCTCTTACACTTCGTCAGAGAAAAGGGAGATTACAGCGCGAGCAGCAGCTGTAACAAATGTAAGTCTGTTTAAACTCTTAGTCAGAGTAAACAAATTACACAAATGAAAGAAAGGTTCTTTATCACTTCCTACTTTCATTAAATATAAGATCTAGACACTTAGATAGCGGCTATTTTCGTATTACTTTCCGAAACACGAGAAAGAAAAAAACTGCAACATCACTTTCAATCTGCCTCCTCTTTCTCTCCCTCTTCACTCTCCACCAACTTCTCCAATCAGAATTCTCAGTACCTGCAAAGGGGTGGGAGTAGGTAAAATACTGACCAATCACAAATAAAAGAACATACGTGCTGGTCAAACGCACATTTTGAGCAAGTACATTTCACATAAACATTTACCGTAATCACTGTAACATTAATACAAATGAAATGACTAATCTAATGATATGACTACATAACATTTATGACAACTTAACTCAGGAATTTCAGAAGCATCTACATATTCAGAAATATGCATTTAGGAGATTAGAAATAACCTAGCCAGGCTACATATGTGCACGCGATCTGTACGTTATGTGTGAGTGTTGTGCACAATATGCTGTAACTTTTCAGTTTTTAAGCTGATAAATCACAGGACAGCGTTGACCAAATTTTCTTAATTCCTGAATGTATGCAGGCGGACTGTACGTTATGTGTGATCTTGTGTGTTCTGTCCGTGTGCAGCAATGTAGCAGCACATTAGTTTCGAGCGGAGATTAACTACCTGTACAATAAACTGTTTAAAATCTGAATTCACCCAATCAATATTGAGTATCCACCTGCTACAAACAAACATGCTTGAGATATACTCATCCTCCGCACTTGTCCATCGCCGTCATTATAACCTTCACAATTCTTTCTGATTTGAGTGATCCACATATCTGTCAAGCTAGCTAATGATGTTTAATGTGTGACTTCTTGATAAAATGCAGTTATATTATGGGCTGTTGGGATTAAATGTGCTCGTGATGGAGCGGTAGTGGAGCATGCTCAGAGCGAGTGAAAAACCACGACGCTCCTACTTTCAAAAAAATCCACTCCTCGCTCAGTCAAAAATCACACCGCTCCACTCTACTCCGCTCACATAATCTGGTGGGCAGCCACTTCTGCTGCGGCGTTCGGGGAGCAGTTTGGGGTTTGATTCTTGCTCGTGGTATTGAGGGTGAATGAGAGAGCGCTGTTCATTCACTCCTCCCACGTACAATCCCTGCCGGTACCGAGACTCAAACCCACGACCTTTGGGTTACAAGTTTGACTCTGTAACCATTAGTAACCAGTATAACAATATAATTATGAAAAATTAATAATTATGAATTATTACAATTGATACTGGCCTCACATTTTTCTTACCCATCTTTACACTACATATGTATATAAACTATAATACTAAAATGCATGATTGTTTATAACTATGTTTGTTATCAGTGATGAAATCACCTAAACGTGTGTAAATAAAGTCCACAAACACTTTTGAAACTTTTCGCCTGTTTTGTTATTGATGGACGTCACAGGTGTCATTTGCAATAATTTATACTAGCTAGCTTCCCTTTCTCTGTTAAACTCCCCGTCACAAAAATTAGACTTTAATATGCTTTTAATGTGATTTTAGATCTTCTGAATATATGTCAAAGCATGGAGTTTATTTTACAGAATCTTCTGCTGGTGAATTTTACACAAAGGCAGAAGTTGTTAGGTGTGTGAATTGTGAGGTTTTAGTTTTCTTTTTCAGCTGTAGTTGCTGCTGTTGTTTTAAGCAGAGTTTGAAATATATAAACTATAATACTAAAATGCATGATTGTTTATAACTATGTTTGTTATCAGTGATGAAATCACCTAAACGTGTGTAAATAAAGTCCACAAACACTTTTGAAACTTTTCGCCTGTTTTGTTATTGATGGACGTCACAGGTGTCATTTGCAATAATTTATACTAGCTAGCTTCCCTTTCTCTGTTAAACTCCCCGTCACAAAAATTAGACTTTAATATGCTTTTAATGTGATTTTAGATCTTCTGAATATATGTCAAAGCATGGAGTTTATTTTACAGAATCTTCTGATAGTGAATGTTACACAAAGGCAGAAGTTGTTAGGTGTGTGAATTGTGAGGTTTTAGTTTTCCTTTTCAGCTGTAGTTGCTGCTGTTGTTTTAAGTAGAGTTTGAAATGTTTACTTCCTTTCATCACTGATGTTCAGACTCTTATTCTTTCAGTTTCTTCTTTATAAAGTCACATGCCAACTGGCTAGTTTGATTTATTAGTTAATTAATTAATTCCCTGTTTGTGCGTAAGACAGACATCTCACTCTTTCATTCTGTTTTCAGCTCCTCAAACCTCAAATCTTCTGTGCTCAATATTGAACCGCTGCTGAAGTGTCAGTCTTGCGTCCATATAGCTGATCCAGATCAGTGGGTTCAGATTGAGCCGTCGGCCTGTACAAATGAAGGAGTGTCAGAGTTCAGGATCAGTACTCCACCAGGCCGTTACGAGTGTGTCAGGACCAAGATGCGATGGGTCAGTGATTATGACGTCACTCTTCAGTATCACAAGGTAGACGGACACTTCCTCAACAAAGAGCTGGAGAGGCTGCAGTGCAACCGGATCGCTCCAGTGATGGACGTGACGGTGATCTCAGGGAAACTGGAGGAAGTTCATCTGCCACATTACATCTGTTTAGGAGAGTCTGGAGCTTCCCTCAGAGATGCTGTGAAAGTCCTCAGTGTAAAAGATGAGGGAATAACCATAGAACCAGTGAAGTTGACACGATTCCATGCTAAGATTGTCAAACCATCCTTCTCTCTTAAAACATTAATTATAAGTTGGATAATGGGATGGGACGAACACTGCGATCTTCTTCTCTACATGCGCTCTAAAGATCCTCTCATTCTACATGTCTACTTTTTTCCAGTTGATGATTGTGCAAAAGAAAAAGTTGAGAAGATTGAAAAATCAAGTTATCTGATCTTGCATCCCAGACCTGACAGACCGTTTCGGATGAAAACTCCACACAGTCTTGATGCTGTGAAAGTCCTCAGTGTAAAAGATGAGGGAATAACCATAGAACCAGTGAAGTTGACACGATTCCATGCTAAGATTGTCAAACCATCCTTCTCTCTTAAAACATTAATTATAAGTTGGATAATGGGATGGGACGAACACTGCGATCTTCTTCTCTACATGCGCTCTAAAGATCCTCTCATTCTACATGTCTACTTTTTTCCAGTTGATGATTGTGCAAAAGAAAAAGTTGAGAAGATTGAAAAATCAAGTTATCTGATCTTGCATCCCAGACCTGACAGACCGTTTCGGATGAAAACTCCACACATTCTTGATGTTCCTGGTGCCTCTGTCCATCCCAAAGAAGGGATCACACTCAGAAGAGAAACTTACCCAAACTTCTTCAAGATCAGGATCAAGACACGTCTGGAGAACGATCTTCATATGAGTCTGATCAGAGAGGAGGACAAGAAGATTGTCTGGATTGCAACACTTGAGAAAGAGGAACTTGATCAGATTCATCCACAGAGAGACGAGTCACGTCCACAGAGAGAGGAGTCACGTCTGAATAGTGAGGCAGGTAAAGCAAGATATTTTGACAACCACTGGCCAGATCTCATTCAGAAGGTCACAGATTTTAGGATTATTGCAGATAAACTGCGTCAGCAGGAAATAATTCATGAGGAACAATATTCAGAAATCAGACAGAGTTTAACCAGTCAGGATGGAATGAGAACGATCTGTGACATTATACGTAAACACGATGATGCTGTGAAAGCTAAACTCATCTCAATTCTTCAGGAAGAGAAGCTTTGCCACTTTTAAACATTGGTCTGATTCTACATTTAGGACTCAAGGAGCAGCTTTTTAAACTTAACGTTTCAAAACAGCAACCTCAGACCGAAGGCTCGTCCTCTAGAAAAAAATGGTTTATCAAAATATACTTGGTCAGTCTTTCAAAATATTAAGTGATTGTAACATTACAAAAAAATCTCAGGTTTTGTATGTCTAAGTTAATGGCAGGTAAATCTTCATTGTCAAAGCAAATTTAGAGGAAAATTTATATTTATGTTTATCTAAATGTGTATTTCATGTTTGTACATGGTTTTATACATCAGAAATTCACCAACATTTTGAGATATTTCAGTTTTTTTTTTTTCATTTTTAGTTTAGTTGTTTTACAACATCAACTTAATCTGTTAACCCACACCTGGACGCCGACACACTGAACGCTCTTTTTTTGCACGTGTCAATGTTTGCGTATAGATAAAATGAAAAGGGACATAATTAATCTTTACAAACTATATATCATTCTAAAGGTCTAAGCCTTAAGCATCGACGATAGATCGTTGTTTTTCAATGGAAAGCTTATAAGGAATGTATTTGCTAAATTTGTGTAAGCAGTACACATCAAAACATGCATAATAAAAACGCAGTACGTACCAGATTCATCATAATAACGAGTCATAAACGCATCCACTGCTGTAAATCCCGGTTTAGTTAGAAAGGCAAGGGTCCACTGAACAACATCCCATAGAGCACCTTTAGTCCAACGAAACAATAACGTTGTAATATGGATGGATATTCCTTTGTTTACATCTCATTTCTTCAGGGAGAGTTATTGTTTGTATCCGTTATGGAATAACTTATGCTCAAAAAACTGCATCTTGGTAGTAAAAAACGACATGGTTTTGTAGCATACAGTGTCACAAACAGAATGAGACCATCCACTAAAAAAAAGTCAAAGATACGTGGAATCTTGTTTATTTGAATTCTGGTGCTCTCTCGTGACGGCTCGTGATGCAAGCTGTGACGCATCTGTCATCTGATGGGGTGTAACTTAGCGATCAGCTTTTTGCACAAATAATTATTTTTCCTATTCAACATTTTTCATATATGTGTGTGTGTTTTGTGGGGAATGTGGCTGTATCTGTATGATTACCATCTGTATGACCACACATCAGCGTATGATTACTGACTGAATGACCAGCTATCAGTGTGAATGCTGTCTATATGAACGGCCATAAGAGTGTGACTATTGACTATATGGCCGGCCATCTGTATAATTACCATCTGTATGACCGGCCATCAGCATGTGATTACTGACTGTATGACCTATCAGTGTGAATGCTGTATGTCTGGAAATCAGAGTATGTACTTGACGTACAAAGCTTCTTTTTTTTTCTTATTATTACTACAAATTATTCTTATTGTATTTTTCTAGTGCTCAAATAAATCACTTATACAATGTCTAAGATTCAGTCTATTATTTTATAATTGAAAAAGTATGCAGTGGTATGTATAATGACTAAAATAGTTTGTAGAACCCTTACATTTGTAAGGGTTACATTTGGTGGCTATTTTTCCTCAAACGGGGTGGGGGACTAGACATAGTCTCAGAAAAATGGCTGCAGGAATCTCATATTTCATGGTATCTTCTTAAAATTTGAAATATATACTCATGAGACATGTGACTTTCAACCCATTACTTTTCTGGATTTTAGTCCAACGAAACAATAACGTTGTAATATGGATGGTAATTCCTTTGTTCACATCTCATTTCTTTGGGGACAGTTATTGTTTGTATCAGTTATGGAATAACGTACGCTCAAAAAACTGCATCTTGGTAGTAAAAAGCAATATGGTTTTGTAGCATACAGTGTCACAAACAGAATGAGACCATCCACTAAAAAAAAGTCAAAGATACGTGGAATCTTGTTTATTTGAATTCTGGTGCTCTCTCGTGACGGCTCGTGATGCAAGCTGTGACGCATCTGTCATCTGATGGGGTGTAACTTAGCGATCAGCTTTTTGCACAAATAATTATTTTTCCTATTCAACATTTTTCATATATGTGTGTGTGTTTTGTGGGGAATGTGGCTGTAT